CTCTGGGATTAACTTCTTTGCAAATATCTGCACTTTTTTCCAGCCCTTTTTAAAGCTTTGAAAAGTTTTTTTTTTTTTGATAGCGCCCCGGTATCTAAATGAAACCTGACATTTTCCCGGGGCGGATCGTGAATTTTTCATTTTTGAGGTTTCCCACGAAACTATTAAAATTTTTGACCTCACGTTTGGGTTCAGCGCTATTTTAGTTGATGTGGGGCCCCAGGCCCAGATGCTTGGGACAAAGTTCACTTGAGGTCCCTTTTCTTTCAGGGAGGATTTAAAAAATTCCTTTTTCTGAGCCAGTACGCTGTTTCAGGGGCCTTTTTCCCTTTTACCTGCTTTCATGGGCTTTGCCCTTTTTGGGGGGGAACATTATTTTAGGTACTTGTCAGACTATCCTTTTAAGCTCCCAGAGTGTACTAGTACTTCTGGTGGGTGCTTTGGGGCTTCTGAGTGTGTAGTACTTTCTGGGGGTGTTTGGTTTCTTCTAGAGTGTGCTAGTTTCTTTTGGTGTGTGTGATGCTTCTAGGTGTGCTAGTACACTTGTGTGTGTGGTGCTTTTTAGAGTGTGCTAGTACTACTGGTAGTGTGTGATGCTTTAGAAGTGTGCTAGTACTACTGGTGGGATGTGTGATGCTCCTAGAGTGTGCCCAGTAATACTGGTAGTGTGAGTTGCTTTTGAGTGTGCTAGTAAATACTGGTAGTGTGTGGTGCTTTTTAGGTGGCTAGTACTTTCTGGTGGTGTTTAGTTGTTTTTAGAGGGGTTTTTAGTATATGGTTTGTGTGTGGGGGGGTTCTTTGAGTGTGCTAGTAAACTGGTGGTGTGTGGTGCTTCTAGAGTGTGCTAGTAATTTTGGTTGGGTGGTTTTCTTCTAGGGGTGTGCTTTTTACTGGTTGTGTGTGATCTCCGAGTGTATAGTCTAATGGTGGTGGTTTGGGGCTTTAGGTGGCTAGTACTACTCGTGGTGCGTGGGGCTTCTTTGAGTGTCCCAGTATACTGGTGGTGCGTGGTGCTTTTTAGAGTGTACTTGTACTACTGGTGGTTTCGTGGGGCTTCTAGAAGGGGTGCTGTTAACCCATGGTGGTTTCCCTGGGGGCTTTAGAGTTGCTAGTTTCTTTTGGGGTGCGTGGTTTGCTTTAGATGTTTAGTACTTGGGGTTTTGGGGGGTGTTTAGAGTGTACTTTTACTACTGGTGGTGCGGGGGTGTTCTAGAGGGGTGCTAGTTTCTGGACCGGTGGTGTGAGTTGCTTTTTAGAGTTTTGGGCTTTGTACTAAGGGAGTGTGTGATGCTTCTAGAGTGTGCAGTATACTGGTTTGGGGTGGGTGCTTTTAGAAATGTGCTAGTACTATTTTTTAGTGTTTTGGGGCTTCTAGAGTGTGTAGTACTATTTTGTAGTGGTGGTGCTTCTAGAGTGGCTAGTTCTACTTGGTAGTGTGCGGTGTTTAGAGTGGGGCTAGGGACTACGGTAGTGTGTGGTGCTTCTAGAGGTGCTAGTTTTACTGGTGGGGTGTGGTGCTTTTAGAGTTGGGGCTAAACTTGGGGGGTGTGTTTGGGGCTTTTTAGAGTGTGCAGTTCTACTGGTGGGTGTGTGGTGCTTTTAGAGGGTGCTTGTAAATATGGGGGGTTTGTGTGGGGGCTTCTGAAATGGTAGTACTACTTTGGGGGTTGTGATCTCCTAGGGGTGTGTTGTTTTTATGGTTTGGGGTGTGGGGCTTCTAGAGGTGTAGTACTATTGGGGGGGTTTTGGTTTCTTCTGAAAAGTGCAGTATATGGGAGTGTGTGATGGTTTTTAGAGTGTGCTGTATTGGTGGTGTGTGATGCTCCTTTGAGTTGTGCTTGTATACTTTTAGTGTGAAATTGCTTTAGTGTGTGCTGGGATACTGGTTGTGTGGGGTGTGCTTCTAGAGTGGGGGTTTGTACTACTGGTGGGGGAGTTTCTTTTTAGAGTGTGCTAGTACTAAGGTAGTGTGTGATGCTTTTAGAGTGTGCTTTGTACTATGGTGGTGGGGGTGCTTCCCGGGGTTTTGCTAGTACTATGGTTTGTGTTTGGGTTTCTTCTTGGGTGTGCTAGTACTATGGGTTTGTGTGGGGAGCTCCTAGAGGTACTTTGGTTTCTACGGGGGGTGCGGGGGTGTTCTAAAAGTTGTTCTAGTATACTCGTGGTGGTGGTGCTTCTAGGTGTATAGTACTACTGGGGGGGGGCGTGGGGGCTTCTAGAGTTTACTAGTAATACGGGGTGCGGGGGTTTTTTAGAGTTTTGCTGTAATACTGGTTTAGTTTGGGGGTTTCTTCTAGAGTGTGGGTGTATACTGGTGGGGCGTGGGGCTTCTAGGGGTGTACTAGTTTTCTAAATGGTGGTGCGTGGTGCCTTTTTAGAGTGGGACTACTACTTTCTGGTGGGGCGTGGTGGGTTCTAGAGTGTGTTTGTTTCTACTGGTGGTGTGGGTTTCTTCTAGAAATGTGTAGTAATTTCTGGTAGTGTGTGGGTGCTTTTTAGAGTGTGCTGTATCTGGTGGTGTGTGGTTTTTTCTAGAGGGCTTGTCTATTTGTAGTGTGTGGTGCTTTTTTGAGTGTGCTAGTATATTTGTAGTGTGTGGTGTTTAGGGTGTGCTATTTTTATGGAAATGTGTGGGGCTTCTAGAGTGTGCTAGCAATTGGTAGTGTTTTGGTCTTTCCCGAGTGTGCTATTTTCTACGGGGGTGGGGTTTGGGGCTTCTAGAAAGGGGGTATTTCTCTGGTGGTTTTTTGTTGGGGCTTCTAGAGTGTGCTGTATACTGGTTGGGGTGTGGTGCTTCTAGAGGGGTGTAGTTAAATTTCTGGTGGTGTGTGGTGTTCTAGAGGGGTGCTAGTTACTTTGGGGGTTTTGTGATGCTCCTAGGTGTGTTTTTACTATGGTTTGGGGTGGGTTTTCCCTTTTAGAGTGGGGTCTAGTTTTCTGGTGGTGTGTTGGGGGCCCTTTTAGGAAAGTGTAGTACTTCTGGGGGTGTGTGGTGCTTTAGAATGTGCTAGTACTACTGGAGGTGTGTTTGGGGCTTTAGAGTGCACTATACTAATGGTGGTGTTTTTTGGTGCTTCTAGAGTGTGTAGTACTTTCTTGGCGGGTTTTGTGGTTTTCTTCTAGAGGGGTTCTAGTACTTTCGGTGGTGTGTGGTGCTTCTAGAAATTTTTTGCTAGTACTACTGGTTGGGGTTTTGGTTTTTCTAGGGAAAGTTTCTAGTACTACTGGAAGGGGGGTGTGGTGCTTTTGGTGCACTAGTATATGGTGGGGTGTGGTGCTTTTTTGAGTGTGGGTAGTACACTGGCGGTGTGTGGTGCTTTGAGTGTACTAGTAATTTCTGGTTTGGGGTGTGGTGCTTTAGAAAGTGCTAGTACTACTGGTGGTGTTTTGGTTTCTTTCAGAGTGTGCTTGTTTTAATGGTTTGGGTGTGGTGCTTCTAGAGTGTGTAAAACTCCCGGTGGTGGTGGTGTTCTAGGGTGTGCCCAGTATACTGGGGGTTTGTGGTGCTCCCAGGGGTGGGCTAGTATTCTGGTTTATGTGTGGTGTCCCAGAGTTTTTGGTAGTGCTACTGGTGGTGTGTGGTGCTTTTTAGGTGTGTTTGTACTACTGGTGGGGTTTGGTTTCTTAGGGGTGTACTAGTACCAGTGATGGGGGTGTGATGTCCCAGAGGTACTAGGGACCCGTGATGGTGTGTGGGTGTTCCTTTGGGGTGTACTAGCCCCCAGTGATGGTGTGTTTTTGCTCCTAGGTGTTTCTTGCACCAAGGGGTGGTGTGGATGCTCCTAGAGTGTTTCTAGTACCAGTGATTTGGGGTTGTGATTTCCCTAGAGGTTTCTAGGCCCCCAGTGATGGTTTTGGTTTATGTCCTAGAGGGTATAGTCCCGTGTGGTGTGTGAGGGTCCCAGAGTGTACTAGTACCATTTATGGGGGTGTGTTTCTCCTTGGGGTGTTCTATTCCCGTGAGGGTGTGTTTCTCCCAGAGGGTTTCTAGCCCAAATGATGGGTGTGGGGGTGTTTCTAGAAATTAGTTAGTTACCATTTTTTCCTAGGCACTGGGCGGGTTAGCCCCTTGGGGCCCGTTGTATATTTGGTACGTGGGTATTTAATACCAATGATGGTGTGTGGGGCTTCCCAGGTGTACAGTTCCCGTGATTTGTATGTTTCTCTTTTTTAGTGTAGTAGTACCCGTGATGGGTTTTTTTTGGGGCTTCTAGGTGTGCTGTAATACTGGGGTGGTGTGTTGGGGTTTTAGAGTGTGCTAGACTACTGGTGGTGTGTGGTTTTTTTCTAGAGTTTTGTAAACTACTGGTTTGGGGTGGGGTTTCTTTTTTAGGGTGGCAGTTCTACTGGTGGTGTGTGGTGTTTAGAGTTTGCTAGAAATTTGGTGGGTGTGTGGTGCTTCTAGGTGTGCTAGTACTACTGGTGGTGTTTTTGGTGCTTCTAGGGGTGCTAGTACTTCGGTGGTGTGTGATGTCCTAGAGGTGCTAGCACCCACTGGTGGTGTGGGTGCTTCTAGAGTGTGCTAGTTCTACTGGTGGTGTGGGGATGTCCCAGAGTGTTTCTAGTTTCTTCTGGTGGGGTTTTGGTGCTTCTAGAGTGTGTTTGTACTACTGGTGGTGTGTGGTGCTTCTTGAGTGTTTCTATTTTTATGGTGGTGTGTGGTGTTCTAGGTGTGCTTGTACTATGGTGGTGTGTGGTGCTTCTAGAAAGGGGGTTTTAGTACTACCCGGTGGTGTGTGGTGCTTTAGAGTGTACTAGTACTATTTTTGGTGTGTGGTGTTCTAGAGTGGGGCTAGTAATAATGGTGGGTTTTGGCCCCTTTTTAGAGGTGCTAGTACTACTGGTGGTGTGTGGTGCTTTAAGAGTGTGTTAGTACTACTGGTTTGGGGTATGGGTTTTTCCTAGAGTTTTATTAGTCCAGTGTTTGGTTTTGTGATGTCCTAGAGGGTACTAAACACCGTGTTGGTGTGTGAGGGGTCCTGAGTGTACTGTACCCGTGA